GTATATTTACATATATTTTTATATTCTCACTTGGTACATTATTTTATAACTTTATTTATTTTCAATGTTGAAGGTATTTACATCATTTGTGTGTTGAGAGGAAGATTCGCTTTCTCTATGGATTTGTTGACCCTGTTGCCATTCAGTCCATTGGGAATAAAGCTGAAGAGGTGCAAACGTACTTAATAGAGGCATTTCAAACTGGGGGCAAAGAAGTCTACTTAGCACCTTACTTGCATCAGTAAGTATACATCTTATAAATTAATGCACATTTATGTAAAACTGAAATTTTACTAATATTATTTCAACGTGCAGGGGTCATTGGCAGCTCATAATCATTGTTCCTCGGCAATTTCTTGTGATTCTCTTGTGTTCATTACACAAGAAAGCAAATGATTTGGATATTAGAAAGCACATAGACGCGTAAGTTTGGTTTTTTTAATTGTTGTATCATATGTGCACTACTTACACCAAAATTATTTGTCCTTTTGTAGAGCTTTGGAAGCTCACCTAAGGTTGCAAGGTCTTCCATCTCATGCTAGAAAGAAGTTGACGTATATTGCACCAAAGGTGACCAAACACCTCTTACTATTGTTCAATTTGTCATTTAAAGTTAATCTGACATGTATTTAACTTGTAGTGTCCACGGCAACCGGGAAGCCATGAGTGCGGGTATTATGTGATGAAGCACATGCACACCATCGTAGACAAAAATATTATGGGCTCATGGAGGGAGGTAAATATACTATAATTAAGTCAAATATGCCAATTATGTAAATGGTTTCTAAATCTGAAATGTTTCAATATGTAGGAATTTACGAGACTCATCTCCAATGAAGATTGAAGTCTTAGACGATATCGAGAGCGAGTGGGCTTCTTTCCTTTTAAGCATTCAATCTTCATAGGAAATTTAACTTGTAACAATTTAGATAGAATTGATTTAAGTTAGGAAATTTACATATATTCATAGGAAATTTATTCAACTGGGTAGAAGCTGGATCATGCTGTACATATATTCATTTCAATGTGTTTCATATGTACATATCATCTGCATGACTCGAATCTGTCATGCTTGGATATATATTTGTAGCAAATTTATATATGAACTGTGCATATCTGTACATGCTTGGATCTGTGGTTATTTGTGCTGGAACTGTGATGAATAGGCGGGTCTACTCGAAGAAAGGTAGCATCTGTAAATAAAATGCGGGTATTTAAAAAAAATAACACTTTCTACGTCGGTTATGTCATTACCGACGTAGAAAGTACTTTCTACGTCGGGTAATGGCATAGCAGACGTAGAAAGTGTAACATTTTATGTCGGTTATAGGCATAACCGACATTGATAACACATACAATAACGGTTACTTGTTAACCGATATAGATACTTGGGTTATAGAAAGTTAGAAAGTAAGACTTTCTATGTCGGTTATAAGTGTTAGCCGACATAGAAAGTATTATGACAGTCGAGAACCGATTATGATCGATCAGAATAGCTCATACAAAATAAGACTTTCTACGTCGGTTCCCTCACTAACCGACGTAGAAAGTCCTTCTATGACCGATCAGAACCAGTTATGATCGATCAGAATAGCTCTATGACCGATCATAACCATTTTGACCGATCATAATAGCTCAAAGAAAGTAGGTCTTTCTACGTCGGTTCCTATTAACCGACGTAGAAAGTCTTACTTTCTATGACCCCCGTATCTATGTCGCCGCTTTAACCGACGTCGAAAGCCCATTTTAACCGATGTAAAAAGCCTTTTTTGCAGTAGTGATGGAATAGGTTTTTCCATCAGGATTATTCTAGTTCATGAGATTGGCTTCCGAGAAACCTTCTCACAACATGTAATTCTCCTTCACAAGGGAGAATTTCTTCATCGAAGTTTAAAACTTCCTCTTCACTTGGTGAAAAGTGAGTTTCATCCTCACTTACGACCTCTTGGTCTTTTAAAAGTATAATATTTTTATTGGGACCTAATTCATTTAAATCATTATAAGTAGTAGTTCAACTCTATCCCTAATGTCCAGGTTAAGGCCACTCTGGAACCTAGCAACTATGACTCTTGGCTCTTCCCTAATCCCCGCCCTCATCATTAAGAGTTCGATTTTCTGCCTATATTCCTCTACTGACATGTTTTTCTGTTGGAGTCTTTGGAGCTTGTCCATTAACTCTCTATCATAGTATGATGGTACATGCCTTTTCCTAAGGGCACTCCTTAATTCATTCCAATATCGGACTTGGGGTCATGATGTATTCTTCTCTCTCTCACTAGGGACATTCACCAATGTAAGGCCTTGAAAACTAAGGGTTGCCACCCTTCTTTCTTCATTAATTTTATGGCATTCAAACAGTTGTTTTACCTTCATTTCCCAATCTAAATATTCTTCAATATTATCCTTGCCATGGAAGGGAGGAAGGTCTACCTTAGGTTCCTTATTATATTCCACTCGAGGTTTATGTCGCCTAGGTGGTGAGGGTTGATAGCAATCATCATTGTGATGACTACTACAATCCTCCACATGTAAATGGGATTTTTTATAGTGTTCTTATCTTCTCCTAGAACCCTCACTTATAATTTTATTTTTATTTTTATGTTTATCCTCTAAGAATTGCGCAAACATAGCTCTTATTTTCTCATCTTTTTTTTCAATTTTCTCTTATAAAGTTCTAAGTTTATCTTTAACGGAAGAGTGTTCCTTAGACCTACGATAGCTCCCACCCACACTAGAATGACTTAAAGGTGCATGAAAAAGATCATCCATTTTTTCTCAAGAAAGATTTTCACAACTGAAAATGGTCATCCATTTACTATATCCCATATATCACAAATACATATATGGAAAAATCCTAAAAATTTTCATCAATGATATCGAGAAGTTTAGTTCTTATTAGAAGAATGGAAGGAGAATGAAGCTTTTTTTAAGTTATTATTATACTTTTTGATGATGAAAGTTATTACCTATGGACTATGAGAATGCAATCTTATATTAAAAAAATAAATTTATGGAAAGTTTGGAAAAAGATTGTATTGTTAATCCACTGCTTGAAAATCCCACCGTGGTCCAAATTAAAATTAAGAAAGAGAAAAATGAGGAAGACAAAAGTGAAGTCATGATTATATGTAGGTATTTCACAAGTGATTTTCATTAAAATCATAACCATAATGTTACCCAAAGAAATTTGGGATAATTTGAAAGAAGAATATGAAGTACCCACGAAGAGGAACACAAGAATCTATAAGGAAAAACCCCCCAAACAACCAACCAAGTCAACATGATTGTTGGGAAACAAGACTCCGAGAAGCAACAACCGTTCGAGAAATAATTGTTAGATATGCAGGAAATATTACAACAGATGCGCCTTGAGAATGAAAAGACTGAATAACTTTTGAAGGCTAAAGATGATGCTCTTAAACAAAAAGACAAAAAGCTTGAAAAACATGGTCATGAAATAGAAGAGCTTTAATTAGAAATGAAAAAACTGAAGAAATTGAAAGAGCTTAAATCTACCATGAATTTGCCTATGTTGAAAGACAATACAATAAAGAAAAACAAGAAGAAAAGGTGTTCCGAAAAAAATATGTCTTCTTCACATTATATTTTATAAATAAAAGATCAATGGAACGAGATTAAGAAAATAAATTTCAAAACATTAGGGGCTAAATACAAGATTGCCAATGCAAAAAACAATACACTTTATGGGAAGAAATATCATGTTAAGAAAAAAAAATTATTTGCAAGTGATTATAAAGGAATTGAATAAGAGATGATCTCACACTAGAAAGAAAATGACAAAAATTATAAGAAAAAGTGAAGGAAAAAACAAGAATAGCAAGAAAAATATTAAATTCAAATAAATAAATATTTATTAGGTAAAGATAAATGTTAGAATTATTACTTTATTATCTTTTATTTAAATTTGGTATTAAATTTTTTTTTATTATCTTATAAAAAGCTAAAATATTACATTATTTTTTTTATCCAAATAATTATGATTAAGATATTATCAATATTTGATATTTATCATATTTTTACTTTATATATACATAGAGTACATGAATAAACTTTACAATATCTCATATATCACAAATAAATATATGAAAAAAATCCTACAAAATTTGATCATAAACAATAATTTTTTTATAGATTTTGGATCCTATAATCCAAAACTTAAAAGAAAATTATATCTTCAAAATTTGGCAAGATCCATCAATCCAAAACACTTTGGAGTACATTTCTCCTAGTTTGGTAAAACTCACAAAGTTAATATTGTCTTTCTCAATAAATATGGGATGAAAAAAATTACACTTATATTTATAATATCTAATCTCACAAGAGTTATTAATTGCCAAATCCATCTAAAAAGAAGTTGCGCAACAATTGCAAGAATAATTAATTCATTTATTAGAGAAATGACAAAAAAAAAAAATGTTACAAACCCTAATTGCTCCAAATCCAATCACAAACTATGACCGCTACAATTGCAACAAATTTACAAACAATGACATTAATAAAAGGGGCCAAAAAGCAGAGCCAAAGGAAGTGTCGTGAACATATTCAAGATCTCTTGTGGGAGCAACAAAGTGTAAAATTACTGTTTACCAAAATACTAATGAGGGGCGTTAAATTATATAAACTTTTGTCAATATTTTCTGCTAAAATCTTTACAACATATTTTCTCTTTTGCATATCTTTTAAAACCCAAGTCCTAGGTATTGACAACTCACAGTAGACTAATGAAATCTTGATACTTGTTTGCAAATCTTTTTCAATGTTTTCTTCCTAAGTGCTTAGAAAGATATTGCTACAACCCAATGTCTAAAGAAATTGATTCCTTAACAACATGTCAATGCAAAACTTCCCTCGAGTTTCTATTTCACTAAATCCGCCTATTCAAAGTGGGCTAGGGTTATGAAAGACAATTTAAGATAAATTATCATATGAACAAATCTTACTAACAAATAAACACAAACCGAAAGATTAATCTACATGTTTCATGTGTCATAACCAGAGAACCATGATTGTTCTGCCAATTTTGTAAGCTCACTCTCCTCTTCGTTACAAAATAACTTAAATTGACCATCAACATTGTGTTGCACCTTGGTGTCATCATAAGTAGGCATGACAAAGTCATCAAAACTAGGTTGTATTTCATCATTAGGTGTTTTTGCAAGTAGCACATTAAGTGTTCTAATCTCCCTCTCATGTTTCTTCTTTAATTTATCAATTTGCTTGTAGGCCTTTGCAGCTTCCAGCTCTGCATCCATCGCCGGCTTCTGCAAATTATAAGATCTTATAGTTAGAAGCAAATAGTGAACTAAGCTGACTTCCCCGCTATTAGGAAAACATCTCAACTACTAGTTACACTACATCAGCTGTACCAAAATAAAATTGAATTGCTTCTGACGGAATTAACCTGTTGGAATAAAATTTGCTAGAAATATATTTGAGTAGGAGACTTAACATAAAATAAATAGATATAGGAAAGGGATCCATTTGAAACTTGATACTTACACATCACTTACCAATAACTTTTCATAGAATATGAAACTTAACAAATATAACTATTGATTCATTATGATGATGCATAAAAGATCTAGATAAATCAAAGGTATGTCACCTTATAGTTAAGTTTTAGTTATAAGTTTAAGAAGTATAGTATCCACTAAAATTGGAGAAAAATTGTTTGTTTCAAAGGTATGTGCATGAATGAGAGGAAACAAAACGAAGTACAGAATGGAATGCTTTTGCCATGAATGTAAATGTGTAAGTTCTTTATGACATGAATACCAAAAAATTCTCTATTAGCCATGTACTCAAATGAGTTTTACCAATAAAAGCTACATCTTACTTCCTCTTTCAACCAATATTCCTTCAGCTTTAGTTGTCGGTGTCTTGAAGTTTGACAATAGTATAGAAGGAGGACCATTTGTCATAACCTATTGCAATAACCGTTCTCCACCCAATGCTATTGTCCAAGTAGTAGTAGCACTACATACTAAGTTGCTGCTCGGCACTTAACATATGTGTTCTATTACACTACTATCAGATATTTAGTGTCACTCTACATATTAATACAAGGTCGATACTTGAAGTTTTCTCTTATTTTGGCATCATAGAAATTCATACATTGCTGATGGATCTCCTTCTTAAGGACAGCTACTATCCATTTTTCACTTTCAACATAGAATGAAAATTAGAGAAACACATGGATGTATTTTATTAGAAACAGAGAACATTGTCAATTAATCAAACTAGGACAATATTGGCATAAAGTTGGGATGCTGACAGAAGCAACAGTGTTAGTGAAACTATTGAAAATAAACATGGATTCTTTTAGGTTACTCGGTAAAAAAACACTGAAATTTGAACATACACGGGATTCTTTACACACCTGTGCAGTAATGACACCTTCTTGTGTTTCTTTAAGTCGCACAAGAAGCTCACCTGCAGCTTGCACTGCTTCAGTAGTATCCTTCAGTTGAGCCCGAAGACCTCTATTTTCAACTCTCAAGGCCTCACTTTCCTTTTCTTTTTCTGCTTTTAATGCTGAAATTTCTGCAGCAAGGGCATTTATGAATTTAGACTCTGCACCTCTTACACCTGCTCTGGAAGCTGCTTGCTTAACATCATCAATTCCATACTCAATCTTTCTATACCTTTCAAGCAATTGGATATGTTTGTCTTCTAAATCAGCATACTGTTCTCGAATTCGTACATGACCTTCTATAGCCACTTGCATTGTTTTATTCAGTTCCTCAACACACTTCCTCTCAGTATCTAGTTCTTGCTTCCTCTTTTCAGCTAGTGACCTGCTAGCTTCAAGTTCAGCTCTCAGTTTTTCAGTTAGAGAAATCCGCCTACTTTCTGCCTCAGTCCATTGATTTTTTTCCTGTTCATGTTTTAGTTTGGCTCTGTCTTCAGCTGATTCTGGATTTTCATTTGCCTTAGAGCTGGCCGCTGTTGAATCTGGAATTGCATTGAGGTTTGCTGCCAACTGAAATAGCGGACTTTGCTTCGTTGCGGATGTGGATGAAGAGTCAACATAAAAATGAAGCTGATATCTTAGACTACATATCTCTTCCATCAACACTTCCCTCTCCCCAAACTGGTAAAAATTCTGATACTCTTGTAACTCATCATGTACTCTTTTTAACTCTATCTTCATCTTCAGAACTTCTAGATGATGCTCGTGGTTCTCTTTTAAAATCTGTTCAGTGTTGATAGCAGACAAGTCCTAAATACAAGTATCAAAGATAGTAATCATTAAATGAAAATCTTAAAATAATTTATTCTACCTTGTTTTCATGTGTAACGGACACCAGCTCTTCATCCATGAACTCCTCGGTGGATAAAACACCATCCATAAGGCTTTGAAGGCGAAGAATTTTATCTTCTCTTATCTGTGCTATTATGACATTGCATTCCCTCTCATGCCTGTACTTTTGTAACTACAAATACAACTGAAATAGTCACAATATAAGACAAGAAAGCCCACAGATGGTTGTTAATAAACAGAAACCTACTAAGTAATTGAGCTGCATTATCTCAGAAGTTTGCTTTGCACAGAGCTCTTCCAGTGCCATTTCTCTCCTTATGGATCCTGCCAAGACTCTCTCTACTGCCTACATTATAATAGAATAAAAATTAAAAGTAATAGATTTAATTTAAGCTTCACCAAAAAATGCAGCTGCGATCCTTAAACTTACTTTCAAAACTTGTCTCTTTGGCTTAGCAGTAGACTTTGGACAATCAATGGGGACCGGCTGCACAGTTGAGCTATTGTCAATTTCATTTTTATCAAGCTGTGTTCTGATTTTGCAGTTATTACTGGTAAACATATCATAATCTTCCATTTTGGAATTATTGTCTAGAATAGTCTGGACTCCCACATCAACTTTGTTCACTGGAAAAGTTAGCCTTGAGTCTTTGGGTGAACGACCATGATGGTGACTATCAATAATTTCAAGACCATGGAGGATGCTTGCTGCTAAATTTTCAGTTTTAGGAAGGAAATATGGAGCTGTCTGGCTACACAGAGCAGTTGACAAACATTTTTTGTCAACAGTTTTTGTGGCTAAATCACTCTCACCATGAAGATTATTCTCAGAAGGAGATTGCTTTAGTGAGGTTCTCAAACTTTTCCTGCTGCAGCTGATTGTTGGTGAAAGACTGGGAGTTGGGGATTTGATGATGGGGGGTGTTTTGCATTGAACTATGCTCAGGCTAGCAGGGGTGTCACAATTCATAGCACTAGGAGAACCACTAGCTTCATTAGGGGCTGAAATACCAGCAAAGCCTCCATTTGAATTGTGGACAAGTACAGCATGACCCTCAACACCGTCATTGTCAATTTCCATCTCCTCATCACCATCATCATCAACATGAGGTAGTGATAATGGATGATTGAGGCTACACTGCAACAAATTCAAACTCTTTTGGATCAAAGCTGCTGAATGACTTCCACTTCCATCACTTAGATTGTAACCATTTGTTTTAACTCGATGCAGCTCACCCTGGTTGATTTCTTACAGTTATTAGCTATTTGATAAAAAAAAAGACATCATGTACTTGCCAGGTGAAACAGAAAAAGGATTCATCATGGTAGAAGAAATATTATTACCCTGAGTTGGTGTATAACCTCGCGCAAATGATTAACATCATCATGCATTACTTCATTAACAACTGCTTTGTTCTTGATAGCTTTGACACGTTGTGCAAATCTCAGTGTACTAAAAGTTTCACTCTTACAACTGCAATGTTTAGTCATGAGAAAAAATCCACCATAAATTAAGAGCAAGAAAATTTTCAAATCTCCAGTGGTTGATCTACCTTTGTGCTGGAGAAACAGCACAAACCAATGCTAATTTTGCATTCCCTCCCAGAGACTCCTGCAATAAAAATGTCAACTTGGAGTCTCTATATGGTATATGCCGCTGCTTTCCTGTTTGAGAAACTTCAGCAAGAATGTTTATCAAATTCCTGCAGTCCGATTTAACCCCAGTAAGTAATTAATTGATGGATGAGTAGAATTTGGAAGTCAGGAATATGATGATCGAGTAATAAAAATGGTAAGAAAAGGTAGTTAACAGCTTTAAATTATATACAAGTAAATGTTAGGGCAAAATATGTGCCTTGCCAGAAATTTAGTCAGTAAGCAAGCAATTTCGTGTAAAATAAAATAATAGAATAATATAAAACTTCAATTGAAAATTACCTTGGGAAAAATTGTGTTATTCCAAAAATGGTTGAAGTAACAACTATTGATGAAAAGATGAAGTAACATGTCAGAAGACTAGGCCCTGGCCCCAATAAGAAGATCTTACTCTAAATGAATTTACTAGAAACATGGCCTGATCCACGGAGTCAACCCAACCTCAGTAACTAATTGGAATGATGGATGAGTAGAATTTGGAAGTCAGGAATATATTAATATGATGAATGAGCAAAAAACATTGGTAGGAGAAGGTAGTTAACAGCTTTAAATTATATAACAGTAAATGTTTAGGGCAAAATATGTGCCTTGCCAGAAATTTAATCAGTAAGCAAGCAATTTGGTGTAACATAAAATAATAGAATAATGTAAAACTCCCATTGAAAAGTATCTAGGGAAAAATCGTGTTATTCCAAAACAGGTTGAAGTAACAACTATTGATGAAAAGATGAAGTAACATGTCAGAAGACTAGCTCATGGCCCCAACAAGAAGATCTTACTGTAAATGAATTTATTAGAAACATGGCCTGATCCATGGAGTCAACCCGGCTAATGGATAACACCTGGTTGTTCTTGTTGTAGCAATTAACTCCCTACGTAAACCCTCCCATCCTTCCATCGCTCATGTTTCAAGGTGTAATGAAATTTAGGCGATTTGTAGTACTCTATGTGGTTTAGAAACTTCCAAGAAAAATATTAAGCATATAAATATCACCTTACATTCATGAATCCCATTTTGCTCTCAGTTATTCATCATTTGTTGATTGATTGTAATTTGTAATTGTAATCTTATTTCAACTAAACATGAATGTATAAAGAAATTTTAAACCATACCCCAGCTGTGAAAGTGATCTATTGATGTTGCTGGCTTCCTTCAAACGGTCTCCCGCTGCACCCGTTAACTTTTGTCGTTCTGAACCAGCTAGATCAACAAGATTTATTTTACTTGTTCTAAATTTGCTTACACCATCTGCAATGCTCTGCAAAGTGAATATACGAACTCACTTCAGTACCTCTTCTATTTACAATTTTATTGTGAAGCAGAGAAATATCTTGCCAACAGAATTTCTTCTGAGAAACGGGACTGAAAAGAAATGTTTCAAAATTGCCAGATTTTCCTATTCAAATGTAGCACTTACTGTTTCTTTTAAAATTTATCTAATTAAAGATTTTAAATGTCTGACCTTCCTAGCTACATACAACCCATAATACAATTATCTAATATTATCAAAAAAATTATATTATTCAACAATCTCCATCCAAGCCACGAGACAAGAGTGCATCACCTTGGATCGAGATTCAACCACACAAGTAAAAACAGTATGTGAACGTGAACTTTCAGCATTTATACTGGTTGCACCAATCCTCTTGTTTAACAAACCCTGTATAATGAAAGGTATATAGTAGTAAAAACAGAAAAAGAGAAAAGGACAACAGAAAGCAATGGAAATTATGAAATTTGGAGCACAATACTATAAAAATAAAAATGAAAAAATCTATTAATTGAATGTTAAGCTCTTGGGATCTATAGAAACGAAATTATAGAGAACAGAGAGAATAAGAAGCAAAATACATCTTCTGTATCAAAATCAGGCGATGACTCTCCTCCAAGGCAATCACCTTCTCCACCAAGCAACGCTGCCTCAGGTTCAACTCAACAAATGTGTAACTACTTAGTTACAACTCTGTCCATTTATTTCTTCTAACTGACTAACCAACTAATAGACACTAACTAACTACTCTTCTTAGTCTAGAATAGAGACACTCAGGGCCTTAGTTACATTGAGCTGTATTCATTTACTGAAGACTTGGCTCTAGCATAATTGAAAGGGAATACTTAATAATTACACGCATATCAGAAAGGTCAAACGTCAAGAGAGACTGAGAGAGCTCTTCAAGTCAATCTGAAAGCAGTTAAGCATTTCATTTTTCTTACTACTGATTAAATCAGCTAGTTTTTCCTTAACGATCACTTTTGTTTATGTTATGAATCATATATGCTCAAAATGAAGCCCACCACATTTCTTGCAAAAATACTATCAATTTCAAGGATGATAAATTCATTTGGAACATGGCATATTCAAGTGAGGCATGTACAACATGTGACCCTTAAATGTTCTAATTATTGTCTTTCTACTACTCTTTTCTTGACTTTTTTTTGGTATGAGGGGAGAAATAAAGTCTTTGGATCCTATTTTAATCAATTAAGAAAATCTATTTCATTGACTTTTACTCATAATAGAATAGCTAAATAGGCAACAGTAACACAAGATCTTTTTTTGTGCGTACTAAACTACAACTGTTTAACATAACTGAACAATTAAATACAAATGGACTCAAGACCTAAAACAAATTATAGATTAATTACATTAGTGTATCCCAGAAAGAAAACCTGTTAATTCTTTTGTGTGTTAGGAACCAAGCATTGAACAGAAAAAGAAAAGAAAAATTCTTTATTGAATAGACTGAAATGAACAAGAAATAGGAGTGTACTCTCCTCCAAGGGTTTCCCCTTCACAAAGGATTTCTCCTTTTACAATGAGTTAATGCTCAATTTACAAAAGATATCCCTCCCTACTTCTATCCTTCACACCCTATTTATATCTAAACAACACCTTATGCAACTGATTAACTCACTAATATGCTAACTATCTCACTAACTTCTCCTTCACTTTGTACCCTACCAGTATGCCAAGTACTTGGATTAGAAGGTATACATTAACATATAGAAAAAATCATTTAATTGAATGTCCTTCCCCCGCTCTGGAATCTGAACCAATGGAACCCAAAGTGAAGAATAGCACAAATGCTTACAATAGATGTCCCTAGGAATTTTAGAGCCTGTTCTCTCCCTCATAAAACTAATTGACCCACTTGCTTTTGCTTCAATTACTTTCTTTATCACTAATATCCTACCTCTGATTCTGCAATATGAGAGCTAACTAACTAACTACTCTAGTGGCTTTAAGCATTTAACTAATAAGGCCTGACTAATGGAAGCTGCTTCACTTGGCTCTTTGACCCATTCTTATTCCTTCTGACATATTTTCCAAATGGTATCCATTGCTGATAGTTTATACAGTTATCTGATATGAATGGTCGCATTGCTAATTACATTGCTAGATATCGCACCTTAGCAAAATGCTCAAAACGAGAAAGAGAACACTTGTCTAAATGCACCTGTGACGAAACACACCTTTATCAAAAGCTGAGTCACATCTTCCTTCGTACAAACTTGCACCTCTGTAAGATTTTCAACATACACACCCGATTTGACATCTTCTCTAATCTGAGTGAGCAACAAAAGACCACTTCTAGTATAACCCAGTTAAGCATGATAGAGTCAACTATAACGTTATGGTACAGAGTTTACCTGTAGGTTTCTTTGATTTGGATCTAATAGATCTGTTATTTGCTCATTGTAGATCTGCATAACAATTTCACACATCAAAAGGACTAGATAACAAGGTCAAACAGGACAGGAACATAAAAAGAAATTATTAACACATTCAATTCAACCTCAAGAAAGGAGCAGTGGCACTGATACTTGAGTTGCTTGTCAAAATGCTTAACTTGCTCCTGTGCCGGAACATAACAATGAGAATCAAGACAGAGTTCATATAGCCGTCAAAAGATTCAATCGTGAACAAAACTCGATGCTTACTTCACTAATGCGAGCAAAGATTCTTTCAAACACACGAGGCGCAAGACCTTGTTTGCCATTTGCTGAATTATTACCTGACAAAGCACTGGCAGGACCCCACATGGTATATGTCTTCCCACTCCCAGTGTATCAAAAATTTCGAAAATCAATATCACCATTGACCAGTAACAAGAACAACATATTGACACATTGAAAAAATTGGGTAGAAAGTAGAAACCTGCCCATATGCAAATATAGAACTATTGAATCCACCCAAGCAATTCTCTACAAGAGGCACCCCAAGAACCTCGAAAAAATCCGACTGGATAACAAAACAATAAAGTCATAAGATCACGAGAGAGAGACAACGAGTCACAAAAAACGAGTTCAATATAGTAATACTAATAATAAGCACAAAATCATGCCTGAGTAGTGTCGGTGGGAGCAACAAAATCAAATGTAAAATTCTGACCGTTGATGAACAAGGAATCACTGGAAATCCTCTCAACAATAGAATCTTCTTCATCCCCGTCACCGCACGTAGGCCTCATTCTCACAACAACCTAGAAAGTAAAAAACAAAATTTTAAAATGAATTAACAGTGAAAACAAAAGTCAATTAACATCTTGAAGCAGTTGTTGACCTTGACGCCGGAATCAGAGGTTGCGGGAACGGAGTGTTCGTAAAGTTTGCGCTTGAGAGGGTTAGGGTTGGGAATGGAAGAGGGAGGTCTCGGGGGCTTGCAAGGAGGAGGATGGTTCTCTTTATCCTTCGGTTTGTGCTTGTTGCCAGTGGGTGTGGGTTTTTTTAAAGTATTAGGAGGGTGTGCAGAAGGAGTGTCCCGACACCGAAAGATTTGATTTCTCGACAGCATGGTTGATTTGGTTTGGTTGCACGGAACAGCGTGGACGGAGAGAGAAGGGGAAGAAGGGTTTGGGTTGAGAGATGAGAGTAGGGGAAGGAAGAAGAAAGTAGCCGTTATGGGAGTTGGGAAATGGGAGGAGGAATTTGAATTTCAGCTCGTGTATGTACGACTAGTCTAATTTTCTTTTCTTTTTTTTCTTTTTTTTAGATCAATATCTCAGTTATGGCATGTTTGGACCGCTTGAGACACTCAAAAGAAAAGAAATAGATTTGATATGATTGAATTAAAAAAAAAATAGATCAATATCTCACTTATGACATGTTTGGAACGCTCGAGACACTCAAAAGAAAAGAAACAAGTTTGATATGAATGAATAAAAAAAATAATAAAAAAAATGAAAAATATGATTGATACGATTGAATAAAAAAATTAAAATAATTATTTAAAGCATGTAATTAATATATTATCGGTATATTAATAAGAGATAGAACAAGAATGAACTAGAATTGTGATATAATTTAATTTAAAGTAATAAATTTATATTATACATAAAATTGTGAAATATATTAAAATTATTTTATATATAAAATATAAAAATAAGTTGTGATACTTCTAAGAATATTTTAAAAAATTTTGTTTATTATCTTAATTTATTAAATTTGTAAATCATTTAAGTTAGGCATAACGTGGCTATCCTCGATTAAAAGTTTATTCAAGTTCATATTTTCTATAAGAAGAAGAGTATGTGGTAAAATGGTTTCAAGAATCGAAAATTTTCCGATTCATAGGATCCTCATGAGAGGCAAGTATAGAGTATACTTGCATCTAAATGAGGAATGATACTGAGAACTATAAGCTTCAAGCTTTCAGAGAAGAGAGAACATTTCAAGAAAGACCTTATATTGGATTGATTCTTATTGGTTATGAGTTACAACATTATAAGTCCTTCCCATTTATAGGCAAACTACATAAGCAGAATTCAAACTTACGCTAAAATAAAATGAACTTCGGACCCAAAATATCATACAAAGTTGAATCCGAAGATAAGGTTACGACTCACACTCATAATGATATTACAAAAAGACAAGACAGGATAAGATGTTAAAAGATATCTTACAAATAATATAAGATATGATAAGATACCATATCTCATCAAATAAAGTAAAGTTGATTCGGTCTCATCTATTGGGATAAAGATACTTGATTAGCTAAATTATAGATTTGTATAGCGGTACAAAATATTGTATAATCAGAACTTTCTTTATTTAGTCCTGATTTGTTGGAGTAAAATACTATAAGATCATAGTATCTGTGTACAAAAATAATATGAATAAAATTATAATGAATTATATGTTTTTCAATTTGGTACTAGAGCTGATAATTTTTTTCTTTTTCTTTCTAAATCCTTGGATATCTTAACTGGAGAGATGATAGAAAAACTAATTTCAGTGGTTGTTCAATCTGAAGGTGTCTTCAACGTAGGCATCATCCTAAATGAATCCAATTATGACGTATGGTCACAACTAATGGAGATGCACATTACAGAGAGGGAAAAATTGTCCTACATCCGTGGGAAGGTGAAGCCTCCAACAGAGAAAGATGAGGGATAAAAAAATGGTATGCTGAAAACCAAAAAGTGAAAAGATGGCTACTGATGTCCATGAAGCCAAAAATCATGAAAAGGTATCTTCACTTACTCACCGCCCTCGATATTTGAAATGCTTTGTCAAAGGCGTTTTATGGGGAGTTGGTTGAGATTTTTAGGGAATTGGATCATCGTGACAAAGTAGTCATGAAGGACCCTAATGATGTGAAGTTATATCAGAAGTACATTGAAAGATTAAGGGTGCATATATTCCTTGCTGGACTGGATGATGATTTTGAGCAAGTTCGTAGAGATATCTTGCGCAAGGAAGTGACACCTGATTTAGAAGAATGTTATGCATTGATCCGGAAAGAGACAATCCGACGAATAACGTTGAAAACAGAAGATATAATTTCTGATTCCACAACTATGATGACAAAGAAGCAGTCAGCAAATCATTACACCAAATCGAAGCAATCAAAAGATTTTGAAAAAGGTAACTACAAGTGTACTCAGTGTAATAAGGATGGACACACCAAGGAACGATGCTATGAAATCATAGGATACCCCGATTGGTGGGATCACAATCGAGCATCGAAGAAGAATTAAAAAAGAAATCCAACTGTTGTTGTTGTAACTTCCATTGACAAAGAGGACGACAAAGGCATGATGCTTGCTACAATCGCAGGTAGTGATGATTCCAATGGTAAGGCTTTAATAAGCACATCTACCATTCTGAATAATGCATGGATAATTGACTTTTGATGTTTTACAGATTAAAAATCTTAAACCTTCCTCACAAAAAAGTATTTCCACAGCCAATGGTAGTAAATCCACTATCATTGAAGAAGGAACTGTCTCTATTTCAAACAATTTGAACCTTGATATTGTCCTTGTTGTTCCTTCTCTTAAGCATAACCTATTGTTAGTTTCGCAAATAACCAAAGCTCTTTTATGTGTTGTAATTTTTGGGCCTGACTCTTGTGTTTTTAAAGACATTCAAACGAGGAAGACAATTGGTTGTGGTATTAGGCGAGGAAGGTTGTATTACCTGGACCTGACAGAGAAAGATTCAAAGAGACTTGGTCAAGTGCTAGCAATAAAAGGGTCTCAAGAAGTAAGAAAAGGCGAGGATATTTGGTTATGGCATAAGTGTCTAGGACATGCATCTTTTGGTTACATAAAGAAATTATTTCCAAATGTATTTGACCAAGTAAACACTTCAACTTTTTATTGTGATGTTTGTGAGCTTGCAAAGAGTCACAAAACATATTTTCCTTTAATTTCAAATAAAAGTTCTCTTCCTTTTATTATCATTCACTCTGATGTATGAGTCCATCTAAGGTTACAACATTGGGTGGCTCAACGTGGTTCGTAACGTTTATTGATGATTGTACTCAAATGACTTGGTTATGTTTGATGAAGTCTAAAAGTGAAGTTGGAGGACTATTTTAGAAATTCTGCAAAATGATTGAGACCTAGTACAAAACACAAGTTCAGGTACTACGCAGTGACAACGGATGAGAATATATGCTATCAAAACTTCAACATTTTTTAGTAGCAAAAGGAATTTTTCATCAGAGATCTTGTCCAAATACTCCACAACAGAATGAGGTGGCAGAATGAAAGAACCATCATCTATTGGAGGTGGTCCAAGCTACACTGATTGGAGCTTACATGCCAACAATATATTGGGGAGAAGCTCTCACATATGAAATATACACTATGAATCGAACACCGTCCAGGTCTCTTGTGTATAAAACACCTCTTCAATCACTTACAGATGCAGTAGTAAGTCCTAAAATTACTGAACTAACACATAGAGTTTTTGGTTGTGTTGCTTATGTTCACTTACACAAGCATCAGAGAAGTAAGTTGTCTCCTAGAGTTGAAAGGTGTGTGTTCCTTGGCTATGTGGATCACCAAAAAGGATATCGGTGCTACAATCCACAAACCAAGCAAATGTTTACTACTATAGATGTAGTTTTTCATGAAACCTTGATATATTTTCCCCCAAGTTTGATATTTATGGGGAGAATTATTATGAAGTTCAGACTTTTGTTCCTCAAGAAATTGATATTGAGGTCAAATTGGAGAAAGAAAGTTACAAAATTATATCAGGAGATGATGAAAATGTGCAACAATGTGATGATCAAAAACAACATAATGAGAAAGATTTTGAGCATGTTGAGATCAAAAATTTTCTTGTTGATGCTGATGATATACCACACCAATCGTCCCCTTAAGAACCTAATACAGAAAAAAGAATTCTGCCAGATCGTGTCATTAGAGGTATCCCTAAGCCTACTTATGATCCTGACCTCACCAGTAAGACAAGATACCCTATGAGTAATTATATTTGTAACCAAAATTTGTCTAACTCAAATATCGCATTTATAAGTCAATTATCTACTGTATCTATTCCTAACAGTGTGCAGGAAGCTTTAGCTGACTCGAGGTGGAAGGATGTTATGAATGAGGAGATGAGATCCTTGCAAAGAAATAAAACATGGGAATTGGTAGATTGTCCAGTTGGAAAGAAACCAGTAGGATGTTGATGGGTGTATACTGTGAAATTTAATGTAGATGGTACAATTGAGAGATTCAAAGCTATATTAATGGCAAATGGGTACACACAAGCATATGGAATATATTACACTGAAACGTTTACTCCCGTAGCCAAAATTAGTACAGTTCGAGTATTGTTATCTCTAGTTGTAAACCTTGATTGGTCCTTACAACAATTTAACGTAAAAAATGTCTTCTTACATGGAGAATTGTCTAAATAAGTTTATATGGAGCTACCAGAAGGATATGAGATCCCAAATACACATAGCAAAAAGGTATGCAAGTTGAAGAAGTCATTGTATGGACTAAAACAATTGCCACGAGCATGGTTTAGTAGATTCACCAAGTCAATGCTTGCTTTTGGATATCAATAGAGCAACCAAGATCATACCTTGTTTCTAAAGAAAAAGGAAGGAAAGATTACAATTCTTCTTGTCTATGTTGATGACATGATAGTTACGGGAAACGATCTAGAGGAACGCAAGACATTGAAAGAGTACTTGGCAAAGGAATTCGAGATGAAGGATCTTGGTCCTTTGAAGTATTTTCTTGGAATTGAGGTCTCAAGATCAAAGTTAGGTATTTTTCTCTCACAACAAAAATATGCATTGGATTTACTGAAAGAAACTGGAATGACAGTATGCAAACCAACAAATTCTCCAATTGAAGGAGGATTGAAGTTGTGCATTGAAGAAGATCAAACTCCAACTAACAAGGGAAGATATCAGAGACTTGTAGGGAGATTGATGTATCTCTCACACACCAGGCCAGATTTAGGTTATGCTCTTAGTGTGGTTAGCCAGTTCATGCACAATCCAGGTGAAAAACACGTGGATGCTGTTATACGGATTTTAAG